AAAAAAAAAAAAAAAAGCGCCTGGGACAGGAGTGAGATTTTTAAATGTAGTTTTCGCTTTGTTCTTAATACTTTTATATTCTCTTCTTTTTAAACAAAAGTAACATGTTTTTTTATAGTTGGAAAAAACAAAGACAAAATTAGTTAAATGTATGAATACATGTGCAGTCCTGAGAGTATTTCCTGGCATATTGTAAGTGCTCTAAAAGTGCAAGCTATTATTATATTAGGATTTCATTTGGGGAAAATGATTGAAAATTAAAAAAAAAAAAGAAAGTAATATTTGACTCCAGAGCCTTGGTAGTGATATTTGCCAGGAAGCTGTGCTGCCTACAGAATCATCAATTGTCAGGTACATATTATGATCCAAAATTTCCTCATCTGAAAGGTAATAATAACGTATGCCTCATAGAACTGACTTTTGGAAGTTCTAAATGATACTTGGCTCAAAGCCTTTGGCTCATATAGTCTTCAACAGATATTGATTACCTTTCAGCCTCACTTCAGTCTTTATTTTAAGTCATAAATTTTCCAATAAAAGTTACATAGTTCTCAGAGGTAACATTTACAAAGTAACAGGAGGTGACATACATGTATTTTTTTTTAAATAAGGTTTGTTGCCTTTTTGTGAGACAGATTAAAGAGGTTAATAGATTATGTGGAAAGAAAAAAAACCTTCACCTCGTGTTGTTTTATTTCACTTACTCTTCTTTCATATTATTCTGTCTTCTGGGAAGCATGTGTATTTGAGTACCAGAAAACCCAAGATATAATGGTTTGGATCTCCCAGACAGAACACTGGCTTGACAAGATATGTTAGTCCCAGGCCAGACCTAGAACTGACTGTGTGACCCTTAGTAAGTGTAGAAAGCAAAATGAACTCTCTCATGTCAAGCAGAAGCCTGTGTCAAGCAGGGCCTGGTGTCAAGCAATGACACAAGTATTTAAAGGTACAGCAAGTAGTTAAAGGACATCTCACTGCGACCAGCACCAGCTGATGACGCTACAGAACTGATAAGCGGAATCAGAGGAGGTCTGCAGGGATCAAGACTGATTAAATCCCTTTAAAAAGGGGATTATTATTTTTTTTTTATTTTTTTTTTCAACGTTTATTTATTTTTGGGACAGAGAGAGACAGAGCATGAAGGGGGGAGGGGCAGAGAGAAAGGGAGTCACAGAATCGGAAGCAGGCTCCAGGCTCTGAGCCATCAGCCCAGAGCCTGACGCAGGGCTCGAACTCACGGACCGCGAGATCGTGACCTGGCTGAAGTCGGACGCTTAACCGACTGCGCCACCCAGGCGCCCCAAAAGGGGATTATTTTTTGCAGCAAACTGTCAGACTCTTCAGATATGACACCACTACTGAAAAGGAGGAACCTCCTTCACATAAGACATGAGATTCCTTTGGAGGAATTTAAAGGAAAGGGTGGACTGCCAGGCCAACAGGAACTCAGAGAAGGCAATGGCCAGTTAGCACAAAATAATCAGAGAAACCTTCAAGGAGGAAAAAGACCTTGACATGAGCCTTAGAAGGTACACAGGACCTAAATGGAGGGTGGGAAGGAAAGAAGAGAACAGTCAAACTGAACCTAGACCCTGGGTCTTTACCATCGCCCTGGCCTGTCTCATGCTGCGTTGCTGGGTAGAAGTCCACTTGTTCCTCCTTAGGGGGACTTAGGTTAACATTTTTTTTTAACTGTTTTTATTTATTGTTTTTGAGAGAGAGAGACACAAAGTGTGAACAGGGGAGGAGCAGAGAGAGAGGGAGACACAGAGTCTGAAGCAGGCTCCAGGCTCTGAGCTGTCAGCACAGAGCCGGACGCAGGGCTCGAACTCACAAACCGCAAGATCATGACCTGAGCCTAAGCCAGATGCTTACCTGACTGAGCCACCCAGACGCCCCAAGCACTTTTTAGCATGTTCTGCACTTAACCCCAAGGAATTTCTCACTTATTTTCAGGTCATGGAAACTGAATTGGTCAACCTTTCTGGAAAGTGCATACTTAAGCAATTGCTTAAGTATTTAAAATATGCATTCCCTTCAGCCTGTAAACCCATTCTTAGCTACTCATCCTAGAAAGTATTTAATGGTAGTCACAATGATTTACAATGCCAAAGCTTATAGATCTGGATTCCTAGCTTCAATCCTTTGACTTGGACTTGAATGCAAAGAGAAGCCACAAGTGAAAAACAGCAATGATGGAACAGAAAGAGAGAATTGTTCTAGGCAGTAGCAGACATGCACCCAAGCATGTGCATAAACACATTCGCATTCACACATGTGTGTGCACATTCTCATGAGCCAAGCAGTTTTCCACATAATTGTGATAGACGATAAAGAAACAAACTTCATGATATTGTTAAAACAATTCAAACTACACCAATAGTGTATACCATTTAGAAATGAAAATAACCATTATATTATACATACATACAAATTTCATTTGATGAAATTTGGTTAAAAAAGAGGTAAATTTAGAGGTGCCTGGGGGACTCAGTCTGTTCATTAAGAATCCGACTCTTGTTTCGGCTCAGGTCATGATCTCACAGTTTGTGAGATAAAGCCCCGTGTCAGGCTCTACATTGACAGTGAGGATCCTGCTTGGGATTCTCTTCCTCTTTCACTGCCCCTCACCCACTTGTGCTCTCTCTTTTACCCAAAATAAATAAATAAACATTTTTTTTTCCAAAAAGTAAATTTAAAGTGGGGTGCCTGCATGGCTAA